ATTGTCCAAGGTATGTAATGATATTAAAAAATGGGATAAATTTATTATTAAGTGGCTTCTTATGTGTTTCTAAGGTGTTAAATGTTGTTCTTATGCTTATATTATGATGCTTTAAATCAAAAGATGCATATTTCCATAATTGTCCATTTATTGATTTTTATCCATTATGACATACTTAGTACATATGTTTGTACTAATTCCATGCTTTTATGTATCTCTAAAATGATTCACAGGTGAAGGTGCTTTTAGAGAGCTAATCTTGGATTAGAGGATCATTCAAGCAAGTTAAAGTATGTCCTCATTTGACTCCAGGGCATAGATGTCTTTTATTTCTCTTATTGAAGTATTGGAATAGACTTAGTAGTACTATTTTTCTGTTGTATATGGGTGGTGTCCCAAGTACTCTTTTGTCGAGGATTTGATAATATTAGACTTAGTATTTCCTATAGATTATATATGAAAGATATTTTGAAAGACTATGAAAATGTTTGTGAAGAGATTTAATTTCGCACTACTTTTCATATATGTATATGCGATGAACAGTATGATAGGGGTTGTACAATACCTTCAAGAGGTCAAGTACGCCGGTTGCACTCTGAGAGTTCCATATTTTCTAGGGTGTGCACTCGAGATGTGACAAGCTTGGTATTAGAGCATAGGTTAATGAAAGTGGTCTTAGGAATCCAAAAGTCTCATCAAGTCATTTCTAGTAGAGTCTTGACCATCGGTGTGAGTCGCGATACATCTATGGGTGAGAGGCTATACGAAAATAAAGTTTCCCTTCTTTTGTACTCCTATGTCGTGCCATAGAGTAAAGCATTATGAGTACTCTTTTCTTATGGTTTTCCTTGTGTTATAGAGTGATGAATATAAGGAGGACACCGGTTATGAGGGTGAGGAGAATTAGGAGATTACTCCTTAAGTTGAGCAAGTTCCTCAACGTGCTTAAGGTTTTCAAGGTTATGAAAGTGATAAAGTCCCTATTGTGGGTAGAGGTAATGATGTTCTGGTGGTTCCCCCAGAAATTACTAAAGGGGAGATTAGAAAGGCTCTAATCACTTTAGCCCGAGCTTTGACTACCCATGTGAATATGGGTTTGGTTCCTAGAGTGACTGTTGTATAGATCACTATGATATCCAGATTAAGAGATTTGTGAGGATGAATCCTCCTATCTTTCTTGGATCTAAAGTGGGAGAGGATCCCCAAGAGTTCCTAGATGGACTGTACAATGTGTTGAGTGTTATGGGGGTGACTTATAGGGAGAAGGTGGAGTTGGCTTCATACTAATTGAGTGAGGTTGCTTAAGTGTGGTACACTCAATGGAAGGATAATAGGCCGGTAAAGTAGGGTTCTATTGAGTGGGAAGAATTTAAAGAAACTTTTCTAAGAAAGTACTTTCCCCGTGAGAGGAGGGATGTGAAGGTAGAGGAGTTTATCAATCTCAAAAAAGGCAATATGAGTATTTAGGAACATTCTTTGAAATTATCTAGGTTTTCTCCATCCCTTGTGTCTAAGGATGAGATGAGTAGGTTTTTGACTGGGTCGCCAATCTAGTGATAGAAGAATGTCATACGACTATGCTATATAATGATATAACCCAAGCTAGACTCATTGTGTATGCTCAATCAATTGAGGAGTCTAAGCTTGGTAGGATTTCTAGAAACTTGAAAAGAAGTGATTCAAGTGATTAAGGTCAACCTAGGGTTATGAATAAGGTTGCAACTCAAGAAGACCCTATATGTGCTACTTGTGGAAAGAGGCACTGTGGGAAATGTCTATTGGGTACTGGGAGTAGTTTTGTATGTGGTAAAGATGGACACAAAGTGAGGGATTGTCTTACTAGAGATGGTAAGCAAGTTGCTCCTAATCTTCCAAAAGATGATGTTCCAAAGGCGAATGCTCGTTTCTATGCAGAGGCAAGGGGTTCAAAGCTGGATGATGATGATGATGAGATGGTAAGTTCTTGTATTTCTCTAGTGTTATGAGTCCCTTCTAAGTGGGGGAGTATGGTTAGTAGATGCGCTAGAAAGTCATAGAAGCTTGTTTTATGTGCATGTTGTTTAAAAGTTTTGTTGAAATTGAATTTTATTAATTTCTTGCATTGTGTGTTTCAGGAAGCTATTAATATGTTATAAAAGGTGTTAAATATGATTTTATATTGCATATTAGCATGCTTCCATCATGAAATTCCTAAATGTTGCATTTTTATCAATTTGGAAGTATGTTCATTGTAAAGCTGCCAGGGCAAAATTTGTTTATTGTAAATTTTTTGGAAATTCAACAAATTAATTCTTTGGTTGAAAATTGATGTAATGTGGTTAGAACTGATGGATATTAGCATAATAACTAATATGAAATGAATTTTTACTATTTGGAATAAAGGATGTGTCTTATGGCATGATGAATTATAGAATTTCTTCTAGTTTCTTGTTGTGTTGTTAGTCTCTTGATTTTGTGAAATTGATGTTTTGCTAGATTTTTGTATATTATAATGTGTTATATGGTATGGTTATGATCTGATAGTTGAATCTCTATTCTTGGAAGTGTGCGGAGAATGGCAAGCGAGGGCGAATGTTGTCCCAGTAGGGGAGATTGTAATACGTCGAAAATGACATAGGTGTAGCTAAACCCTAACATGTCTGTCATGAGGGTATAAGGTCCTAAAATGGTTTATAATGTTGTATTGAGGCAGTGTCTAAGATTTTAGGTGAATTGGAAGTCAAACGTCAAGGGACGACCAAACGTTCGATGACTAAGTCACCTATGTGTCTCATGTGTTGTTATGTGCCTATATGTGTGTTTAATGAGTTAATGATGTCCTTATATGAGTTATTATAGTGTTTTATTTGCTGTGTGTCAAGTTTCGTGAAGTTTAGAGGTCAAACGTCCAAGAAAGTCTATAACGCTTGAAAGGTTTGCCTTGAAACGACCTTGTGTGTCTTGGCATGTTTCGTTGAGTTTCACGAGTTCATTTTGGATGAAATTGATATGGGAAGTCCTAAACTCGTAGACGAACATATTCGAGTTTGAAAATTTTGCGCAAACATCCCCAAGGTTCAACAAAGGGTCCTTTTGGAAGGACCCAACAAGGTGGCCAAAACTGCCAAAAGACAGTCCCACCTAGGGATTGCAAACGACAGCCAGTGGCCTTGTCAATGCCCCATAAGTGAGGGAGTCGATAATTAATTATACCATGGATATAAGCTCCCATTTTCCAGGCTATGATCCAATTGACGGCGGACAGAACGGCCCGTCAACGGAGCGATGCCCCATCGATGGCCAGTTGTCTATGGTGACTGCATTATGTGAAGTTCACTGTTAAGTTGAAGGGTGAATCAACATACAAATAAGATAAAGGGTGTTTAATTAGAAGTATTTAAGTATTTTAAGTGAATATATATGTCATAAATACGTAGATGAATTCATTCTTCCAAATCAAAACCCCAAAATCTCTAAGAAATTCTCTAGAACTATGTTGAAGCCAAAACACAAGAAAGAACTTAGATTGGAGAATTGAGTGGTGATTCTTCATAAAATTGGTGGATTAACATCATTTAGGTATGACTTTTGATCCTTGAAACTCTATTAATCAAGTATGCCAAAATTCAAAGAGTTTTCTAAAGATGAACTTGTCAAATTTTATGATCTATCCATGGGTTCTTGCACTAAAGGTTATAAAGCATTGTACATTGGTTGAATTATTTTTAATTAGATTATTTTAATTTTATTAACCTATGAACCCATGTAATTGATGTTGTCTTATATTGAGCAATATATATTTAATTGACATATATTCATTAAGTATGATGATTTTTGTATTGAATCGATATTCACGGCCATGGGTAAGGGCCTTATGGCATTGAATTGGATCATTTAGCTTTGGATTGAAGTGGTGAGAATAGATTGGTGGTACTCTGTCCTAATTCTCTTTATTTTATGTAATGTAGCTCTTGAATTATGTTGTGATTGGTATGGTTAAATTATTATTGTGACGGTGCTATGTGAATGATGTGGTCGTGTCGGTGTTACTTTATGTATTATGATGATCATGGCCTTGTTGGCACTACTTGAAATATTATGATGATTTGTGTAGTTAATTTTGTGAAGTATGATCATATCTACCTACTTGTGATTAATGTGAAAGTATGTGTTTCTTCTATTGATATTAGGTGATCATGTTAGACTATGACTATGTCTATATGTGTAGTCTTAGAGTTGATGCATGATTATTCTTATTTGACTATATGAGTCTATAATGGTTATATTGATGATGTTATTGTAGTTTATAGGATGACTTAAAAATGATGAGGGTTATTCCTATATGCTTCAAGAATGATATTCAATATGTGCTAAAGTGAAGTATTGGTGTCTTGTGTGGTTGACTTTTGTCCCTTGCTTGATACATGTATGAATGCGAATATGAGATGTATCGACTTAGTATGCTAAAGCCTCTTAATATTGTATGTATGAATGGTATGAGGCCTTGAATGATTCTAAGAAGGTTGTTGACACCCAATTATTACCCTCCCCGATAAATTAAATAGTGAGCTTCCTAATTCCAAATGATTTTATGAAGTTCAATATGTTTAAAATTATGTTAAACTAATTTCATAATATATACGTTTCATATAATTATGAATATATTTAGTATATTTTTTGAAAATTCTAAAATTGTATAGAACAAATGAATTTGTTTAATTATATACATATATATTTATATAGATAGGCATTCTTTTTAATCCAATTAAGTCAATTATTTTCTTTGGGTTTAAGAAACTCCTTAGTTAATGTTATTCGAATTCGTTTTCGATTTTAGCCGACTCCGCGAAATAGATCTCACTCGGCGATGGTTTGAATTCTATATGAATATAATTGTTCCTAATTTTGGGATAAAACATTGGTTGGGCCATTTTCCCGCAAACCCATCTTTTATCTATTTATTTTAACCCAAATCCCACCCCTTTAAGTATTCTTCAGCCCAACTCTATTGTTCGCTTAACCCATTTTCCTTTGCAGTATTCCAGCGTTAGAAAAACTCAGCCCAATTCCCTTCCTCCATTGCAAATTTGTGACCCCATCCACTTTCCCTGTGTCGTCTTCCCCATATTCTCCCGTACGTCTACTATCTCTAAAGCAGATTAAGCAGTCGTATCATCTGTCTTTGTAGCATTTGGATTGAGACACGTTGCCTTTGCAAGGACACGAAATCCATCCACTTCGTTCGTTCTCCTTTCTTCTTTGGGGATGAATTGAAAAATGCAGAAAAGGGTGTCTGCCCTTTTTGGGTGAAAGGCTTTTGAATTTCGAATTTGGGATTAGGCTTGGTTTTCCATCCAATTTTTCTTCCGTTTCCTTCCAAAATCCGTAACTGTAGTGGTTCATCTATATATAATCGCTTTGAGAGAAAGCAGAGGGTGATTTTTTTCTTTTGATATGTTTTAGCAAAAAGAAGCAAGAACTTTTACAGCAACATAAGCAAGAATACATAAATTTTTATATCAGATACGTTTAAAAACAGAAAATTGGTTTAATTTTGGTGTTGAGTCTGGTTTTTTTCCTCAATACCTTGATTGTTGCTCGTGTCCGAGTCTTGGTTTGTAGGAAGTCGTCATCCTAACTTATTGTTGTCTCAGTTGCTGCCCGGAAGAAGGTAACACTTTTCTCTCGATAGCTTTGTTTTCATCTCTTCTCTCATCTCGTGCGGTTAATATTTGAAAATTGTTATTCTCTGGTTGATCTTTTTTTTTATGTATATCCTTGTGATTTTGGATTGCTTGAATATGTGAATATAATATTCTTATGCTACTTCATGATCTAGTTTCAAGTTTGAGCTTAAGTTTATTGTTTTGACTTTTTTCTGTTGATTCTGTGTTTGATCTTTTGGAGTTTGTTATGTTTTTTCCTAATTCATTTTCGAATTTCGAATATCTCTTCTAAACAACTATCAAGAAATAACTGTCTCTTCATTTTAGTTCGGTAGTATTGATGCCATTATTTATAGGTCTAAGTTTTCCAGAATCAGTTAATATGGCAAAATATTTACAGTATAGTAGTATTCTTAAGCATATAGTTTTTTTTTTAGTTTGTTTCTTGATCATCTTTGTGTTTTTAGTGCCTAGTGTGTGTTTGTTATATGTTAGAGGTCGTCAAATGCATTAGGTGGTCGTGTTTTTGGTTTCTCATAAATATGAGCTGGTTTTGGAGTTAGTGTTTTTTTTCTTTTTTTTTAATGTTTATGAATCCGTCTATGTCTAGCTTTGGGAGAAAGTCTTTAACCCATTTTTTTGGTCTATTTGTTACTCGATGTTTTCGACTTTAGAGTTAGTTCAGAATACATTAGTTTTCTGTTATTTCCTAAGCATGTCTAAATCTGTTTAACATTGTTAAGTTGTCTAAAAACCTGAAAATCTCACTCGTTAATGTAGTTACTTAGAAAGTATCCCTTTGTTCTCTTTTGATTTGAGCCCTCCTCATAGGTCCTAGTTGTAGTAGTGTGTTGATTGGTTTATTATTTATTATTATTTGTTTAGTTTGGGACAGGTACAAAGAAAGTGGGCCAAAAATCCACAAACAGGTAGGTCCAAATTACAGCTAAGGCGGAAGATAAACCAGACTTGGACCCAATCTCTTTCTCCCTCTCTCTACAAGAATCCAATCCCTTAGAACGCCGTAATGTTTTAGCAACTTAAAATTGTGTCAAGTTTAAATGAGTTTAAGACAATAAAATTTTCAATTAGATATTTCATTTAAATAAAATGCTAAGAATACATTTCAAAAAAATTCCAATAAATTTTATAAGTCAAGTTTTAGCCGAAATGTGTTAGTTGTCAGAAAATCGTATTAATAAATATTTTAAGTGTCGTAAACACCTTCATAAAATATAATATAAATCCACTAACCCCTTTAAAGTTTTCAAATGATTTTTCTGTTAAGTCATTTGAAAATGCAGTTTTCTTGTTTTTTCTCAAAAATTAAGTGGAGACTCTCAAAAAAGGTGGAATCGATCATCCGTTGTTGTTCATCTATAAGTGGAGACTCTCAAAAAAGGGCTTTCTGAAATACACAAAAAGTTCATCTATAAGTATCAAACAATTAATTGGAATCGATCATCCGATGTTGTTGGTAGCTTCACCCAGATGTTTATCCAACTCGGGTAACCGTCAATTTGAAACCTATTCTAGTAAGCCTAGGTTAGAGCGAAACCAAAACAAAAAATTAAACATTAGCCTAACATGACTTAATACCCAAGGTGTAGAAAACGGCCAAAACTGTTTCTAAGGTCTTCGACCTCACGAAACGTCATATTATTTTACATTTGAATGATGTACATGTGAAAACCGATTTGGGGTGGGTAAACCTAACTAGTTTCTGTTTTGTCGATATGGATCGTTTCCCAAAGTTTGACATGGTCATAGCCGCACCACCTCAACTCACAATGTGGTATGGCAATCTCGACGGGGATCGTAGAAGAACTCTCAACAAATATGTGGGTGCTCTGACATAATTGATCGACATGAACGGTTGACCGGAATTGGTTGAGGTCCTCACAGGCTACTGGGATAGCCAATGAATGGTGGTCCGATTCAGAACCACCAAAATAACCTCGACTTTGGAGGAAATCAGAGAATGCATAGACACGGTAGGCACTGGGATAGAAAGGATAGCAAGAAAACAAGAAGACATCTTTATCCCTAATAAGCCTTTTGTAGAAGATATTGCAAACTGGTTTGAGTTGGGGAAAGACTTTGCCTACTGGTTCCAAGAATCCCATGTAGCATTCTGAGATCTGTACATGTAATTTGGACATGCAAGCGTTTACGCCACTTACAACCAAGAGTTCAAGATCTCCTACCGAGAATGGTATGAAATTTGTCCATTAGCATTTGCTGTAGCGTTATTGGGAACGATGGTATTTCCACATAGTCCAAGTCTCAGTATCAATACTCGAGTTATAACACTCGTGCATACTTTGTTCAAAGGGTATGAGAACAAAAGGGATAACAAAGTACTACCCTATCGCTCCGGTCATCCTGTTTGATATGTATCGAGCCTTGGGAAAATGCAAAGAGGGACATCGATACTTCCAAGGATGCAACTTGCTCCTTCAGCTGTGGATCCTCAGCCATTTAGCGAAGGGTGCTGGGACTCGGGAGATGCATACTCTTGACAACAAGAACTCCCTTAAAGATTTGAATGATATGTTGTACTAGGCGAATATGGACAATCGGAGAACAAGAGGGAGATGGGCTCAGATTCTCTCCGAATTGAGAGAAGAAGATCTCCAATGGGTGCTTGACCGTTTCATCTCCAAAGAAGTTATCGTGGAGAGATGCAGACAAATTGTGCTTCCTCAACCAGACATTTGGGGAATTCACCCTTATGCACCCTTCCGAGTCTTGCAACAGTTCAGGAGGAGAAAAACTGTACCCAAAGAGGCTTATATGGTGCTTATGTATACGATATTGGAGACGATAGATTGCACGACGTATCTTAAATGTTCAAATAATGGAAAATTACTAAGCATATGGATAAAGACACCATCGCCCCTGACCGATTTAATGCTCGATACGACGAGGGTTACAAAAAATGGTTGAAAAAAAACATACAAAGTATCTCCTCCCCAACCCCGCACAACTTTTGCAGTGTGACAGGCAAAGAAGCAAAGGCAGTGGGCGAGCTATAAGAGGTAAAGAAAGAGTCCCAATAAATGTACGCTAAATTTGTCGAGAACCAAGACACTCTTGAGAGGAAGATTTAAGAGGTGAAAAGATTGAGGCATAGCTATGATGATTTTGATACCTGGGTCAAGGAGAAAATCGAGAGGATACGACACGAAAGCTTGGAAGACAAAGGACGCCTGGATGAAGGATTCTTGCTGATGCTAAGATATATGTTTCAGCAATACAAGACTAAGGGGCACGACGACGGAGCAGGACCATTAGGCACAACATATTGGATTTTGCCCTTTTCTGGGTTTTTATATTTATTTAAGTTGTTTTAGCCCCTGCGTGGGCCTGCCTTTATTGCACTTTCAAATGGCCCCTGCGTGGGTCTGTCTTTAATTTTTATCCTTTGTTATCCCCTTTGTGAACATTATTATTGAATTGTGAAATTCATTTGGGGGGGAATTGTTTATATGGTTTAAATTCACACGTACATCATTCAGATGCGCTAGGCCTTACCTTGGCACAAAAGGGTCCCCCTGTATGTTTTAGGATAGTGATATCGGTGTTTAACTGTTTATGTGTTTTGTTGATAAGAATGAGGATATTGGAAACCCACTCTTTTCTAGAAATTTCCAAAATATATACATAAGTCACTATCACAAATGTCTGACCAAATTTTTTTGAATCTTAAGTTTCTCACTCAAAAGACAAACCTCATCTCCAAATCGTAAACATTATTCTACTGTCTTAGGAAAGGCAAAATCACCTCAATGGACAAAGGAAAGGGTATTCAAACTGAACCAAGTGAAGAAGAGTGGGTCCAGATGCAAAAGCAGCGAAAGCGTCTGTACAAATTACTAATTCCTCCTGAGAGCCCTGAACAGGAGATGAATGAAGAATGTTTTGAAGAGGAAAGTTATGAGGAGTTACTTGCCCTCCCTCCTTCTTTCGAGGGGCATCTGACAAACACAGACAACAAAATTTCTCCCGAGGCATATTTGCACGAAGAACAAAAGATGATGGAGGTCATTTCGTGCGCTCTCATTTTTGAACACTATCGGTCTAGGGGCCTGCTAGGACCCGTTAAGGAAGCGTCCTCCCAAGTGGGATTAGGAGATCTCCGCAAGACATGTGAATGTCATCTTAGGGAGAAAGGACATACAATTGAGGAGTGTATTGGTTTTAAAATGCAGTCCGCTATTTATTCACTATTGATAGTACTCCTAACACTTGGGGTGACAACGTCATCCTTGCATGTGATGAACCACGACTTGACATACCGGTCACAGAGGGAACCAAATTCTATCATTGCTTATTTACACCTTTCAAGAAAACAATATGGGAAATCTACTCGAATTTGGTTCAGAAAGGCGTCTTTACCCATTACTACTAGAATGTGGACATGCAATATTCTCTTCAGCACGAAATCCGAAATCATTGTCCCTATCATCATCACTCCACAGACCACAACATTTAAAAGTGTCTCGACTTCAATCACAACCTCAAATCCCTCATTAGCATGGGAAAGATTCAAGTTGAGACCGTTCCCCGTGGCTAAGATGAAGATGACAAAGAGAAGAAAATGACTTAGATGGAGTCATTGGTTTATCTTTACAGCTTTGTTGTTTTTCCGTTTCCTTGTAATCCCAATGAATTAAAGAATGAAAATATTCTCTTTGTACTCGAACTACGTTGGACCTGAATTCTCCTTGTGAGATACGTAGGCAGCCTTCCCAGGCCCGGGCCCTATCTTTAAAAATTTTCATTCTCCCCCTTCATGTTATGAGAAGATACGAAGGCCAATTCAACAGACGTCAAAGGGCAGCTGGAAAAAGACCGTAGCTCAACATGATTTAGCCTTTTTGAGACAGTGTCAAAACTAAAAGAAGCAAACTCCTGCTTGTTAAAAAATGTGTTTTCGTCCTTACTCATGAGTTGAAGATATCCTTAAAAAAAGCAACTTGTGTGTTTATATGCTCTCTGTGTGATATTATGCATTTTGTATTCTGAATCTGTATTGACAAATATGAGTTTGAGTCTTTTTCCTTCTCAGGTACTTTGAAATTGATATGTTTTTATCAAAAGCTGGCAGATCATCCCTATTTCACCAGATCAAAAGGCCCCGCAGATTCCTTCCGTAGACAAAGCTCAGACAAAGGAAAGATGGTTATGGAGGATAGTAATGAAGAAGTAAGTCTTACTGATGTTGTGGTTTCTCAACCCACCATAGCATACCATAATGAGTTGATTCTACAGCTGATGCAATTAAATGCAAAAATGAGTGTAAATTGCAAATAAGACATGATTGCCTCCACCATGATTTGCTGCTAACACTGCTGATCGGAGACTTCCTATCTACTCCTTCTTCAAATATGTATCTAACCCAAAACCAGCCATCTATACCTTCTCAGAATCCATGGGTTATAGATCCGACTACCTAAAATCCCCAATATGCTCCGCATCCTACCAAACTCCACCTCCTCCCCAAAACAACCACCCCCAAATGCCACGCGATCCTCAAAATACTCACCATCAAACTGCTCCACCACCGCAAAATCAAAACCAAAATACTTTCAATCCTCAAACACCTCACCACCACTTAAATCATAATACCAATCCTCAGACTTACCCACAGAATTATCAAACCGCTCAAAATGCCCAGAGTCCCTCTGTAACTCCACCGTTACCTAAAAGAACCACTTTCCAAATTCCCGTCCATGTTGAGCACGAGCTGCACGATATTGAGCTGGACCATTATGAAGAACAGGAAAAGGAGTGGAGGGCAAAGAAAGTGGCAAAGGTTGACATAAAAGAAGAGATCAAGAAAGCCATGAAAGAGCTCCAGTGCATACCTGATATCACCATGCTTAGTTATGAAGACTTATATAATCATCCAAATTTGGACCTTCTAGAAGGGTTAAAAATCCCGAAATTTGATACTTTTGGAAGAGTTGAACCCTATGCCTCATTTGAGAGCCTACTGCGACCAGATCATTGGAGTTGGTAGGGATGAAGCTCTATTGCTGCGGCTCTTCAACAGAAGCCTGTGCAGAGAAGCTGTTAAATGGTTCACTCGCATGAAATCAGGCAATTGCCCAGCTAGAATGCGTTGGCAAAATATTTTATCGATCGATTCGCTTACAATGTTTTAAGTATTCCAGATCGATACTCTTTTGAGAAGATGAAGCAAAAATCCACTTAGAGCTATAGGGAGTTTTCCTATAGGGTGAGAAAAGACGCAGCGAGGGTGAGACCGCCCATTTTTAAGAAAGAAATCGTCAAAGTATTCGTGCACATGCAAGATCCTGAATATTATGATAGAATTATGTTGCTCATGGAGCAAATATTGCCGAGATAGTCAAGATTGCTGAGAATATCGAGGATGGTTTAAAATCAGGGAATATAGCCCCTGTTGCCGGATCACCTGTATCTTCAAGGTTGTTGAAAAATAAAAGACAAGAAATCGTTTTTGGCTTTCCCAAAATTCATACCAAGCTTGCTACACGCAAGCTAGTCATCTCAATAATCCTCCAATTTATCAAAATGCTACGTGCACTTATCCAAATGCCCCAGCTCAACTATATCAAAGTCCACCCCCAAATTACAAAAATTCATCTCCCATTTACCCAAATTATCCTCTACCCGACCAAATTTCATCTCCCTACTAGAGTGTTGCTCCCAAATGTCCTAACGTGCAGTCGAGCTACCGAGCACCCCCTCCTATGTATCAAGTCAAAGATCCATGATACGCTCAAACTTACTTCTCAAATAAGAACTAAAGAGGTCGTATCAAGTAAAGAACCCAACTAATGAGGTTAGGATCGTTCCCACGACGAAAATAATTCAAACTTAACTTCATTCTATTATTACTATTATTTAGTCAATTATTTCCCTAGAAAACAAAAGACAATAAAGGGGGGGGGGGTTATCTCTAAATTAATGAAAGTAATTAACTAAATTATAGTAAACAACTACAAATTCAACTCTTGGAGCTTAATTAAATAATATAAGTAAGTAGGGCTTAAGTATTCCCACAGGTTCCTAACTTGATAATTCTAACTATAACAATTCTTTCCTAATATCTTGCATGTAATGTGATAAGTTATGTATCTCTAAATCCTTGGTCCGGCATCTAGAAAATTTCACTCTGCACCTTGGTCCGGCTACGTGTGTTACTATACTAACCCTTACCTTTACCTCATATTAAGCATTGTATTCGATATTTGACTTAGTTATAACTCGTACCAATCAACACTAGCCTATTAGATAGTGTACACTAAATCTATGTTGATAATTTTTTTCCTATTATCTACCTCCTTGGTCCGGAAAGTAGCATTAAGGCGAGTTCTAACGTTAGCCATCCATTAAAAATACATCTAAATGAAAGAATTATCAATACATGCAAGACAATATTCTAGAATTGCTATTTTAGTTAGATTTTACCTTATTATTCACCCATGGATCCCACAACCCTAGTTATGAAGTTTAGTTACTCATATTCATAATAACACTATTCATATATCTAATATAAAAATTCATGCACTTACTTTAATGAGAAAGAATAAAATCTATAAATTCACTTGATTAATGAACAAAAACACCAACAATCAATTCTAGAAAAAGTGTATCAATTACTAAAATTAATCCTGCAATACTCGAACAAGAGAACTACAGATTAACAAAAATTCTAACTATCAAAAAGTCTACTATCAAAAAGTTTAACCCCAAAAATGAGGTTTTTCGAACTATATATAAAAACAAAAATCTAATTAAAGAAGAATTCTAATTACCGAAAATCTGTCAAAACGCGTCTGGGTCGACGGACCTTGTGACGGACCGTTGTGGACACGATGGGCCGTCATGGCCTCTGTCGCCCCATACTTCACAAATTCTTCTTCCGCTTTCTTCATTACCCTCAATGGACAGGTATGAAGGACCGCTCCAAGCACAACAGTCCGTCGAGGGTCTCCGTTCCACAATACTTAAACTTCTTTGAATTTGGGTACTGGACTTCTCTCTGATCATTGCGACTAACCAGCAGGACGTACCATCGTGGCTATGACGGTCCATATTGAACTTCCATAATCCCACACTAGGTCTGACTTCCCCATCTTCCTTTAGCAGCTTTACTACGATGCCACCTACGGAATGTCACAAGCTCAACGGACTGTCACAAGCTCCGTAGGTGGTCTCTTATGCATTTCTTTCTCAAAACTTCCGCGTTCATCTTTGGACAAATTTCCTGCAAATAAGAAGAAACTTACATAAAAATCAATACAAAAAGGCTTTTGGACACACACTAAACATAAGGAAAAACATTAAAAATACCGTGAAACCACGGAGCATCAACACCCTCAACTTCAATTCGTTGTTTGTCCTCAAGCAACGCACTATGACTCACTACAAAATCTTTGTACAATAGTATCCATATTTTAGCTTTCGCAATTATTTGGCTATAAATCCTGATCAGTCTCATCATGTTTATCCATGTTATCTCTATTAGGCTTGAATTATGTGAAACAAGACCATGACACAGGCTCACCACGCACTGACAACTATCCTCCTCAATTTCTCACCGAGGTGCTAAATTTCCGGTATTGCAACTAATGTCCTCACTTCACAACAACATCCTCATTTTTCAAAAAATGATTTCAGTTTGAGAATAAGGATTACTTTTTAACACTCACACTCAGAACAAATTCACAACTCATTTATGCATATTGCCATAAGCTTGCCCTTATTTTCACTACTTTAAGTTCGCCATACAACTCTTAGGATCACGATAGGACTTTCGAAGCTTGTAACATAGGCTCAGGGTCAGGTAGGGTATATTTAGGTATACTTTAGTGACTTTTTGCCCTCTTTGATATATCAGCTAAACGTACCACTTTTTGTCGTTTTATTTCGCCCAATTTCTCATATTCTTTAACCTTACTATTTTCCCTTCTTTCTTTATTTGTGTAAGTGACTCTTTTCTTTTCTTACTTGTATTTATTATATTTTTTCCACTTTTCTTTCAACTTGATCGTGATTCACTTTACTTTTAATCTTTCTCTCTCTTTGTTCTTTCAAGCCCACTTTCCAGAGTATTCCTCATAATAGCCACAGTTAACTCATGGCTTTGCCATGACTCAAAGTACACAATACCCAAAGTTGGGTCAGGACCATGAAAAGGTTGTTTACTGCATTAGCCACCCTCAACTTATGCTTTTGGCATAAGCTAAGGTGCACATGTCCAACGAGGGACCAGGGCCAACACATTATTCCCAGAAAATATCAATTGGGGTGAAAAAGAAAGGTCTATTTTAAGCTTAAATCATTTTGATTAAAGAGGAATTAATTTCATTCATTTTTTTATTTAGGCTAAAATTGGCTATATTGAACAAGGGCCTATGATCCTTTCATAATTTTCTATTACAACTTAATTTTTGAAGGACTAACCAGGCAAGTTCTAGCTAAGTAAAAATAGTTGACTTTTCAAATGTTCCTCACTCACTAGACATCTCATTACTCTACCATATTATCAGACACCTAGTTAGATTCTTAGACTTAGGGTCATGTAGTGGTGTATCTCATTGTCATGCTTAGAGACACACATTTATCAATTACTCTACCTAGCTATGAGTCATTTTCATTACATCAGGATATCATTTTTATTTTATCCATCATGCTTCAGAGTTATACTAT